TTTTGTGTGTGAGAGTGGCCCCACAGACTGATTGGATTAGAATTCCCCACAGACTGATTGGATTAGAATTATGTAGTTGGCATTTCAGAGAGTGGGTGTTTGTATGGAGCGAGGCTCAAGGGATGAGGTGGAAGCGGAGTGTTGAACGTCGGGGGGTTAGGTAGTTGTGTTGAGGAAATGATTTGAGGTTCTTGGGTGCTGATTCAGAACTTTGCTGGTTGGGTGGCAGGCTTGTGGACTCCAGGGACATTGTGGAGCTGGAGCTGAAGCACAAAGATTATGAAATCACAATAAGGAAAAAGGAAGCTCTAGAATCAAACCAGCCCCCACCGCAGCCCTTCCCTTCGGCAATGGTCAGCAGTTTGGTACCTCAGCCTGCATACCCAGCACCTCCGCCACCAGCACCGTATGTGCAGCCTACAGCTCCTCCAGCAGAGGCACCACCCCCTCCTGCAGCAGCTGAACCAGTGGCTCCAGCTCCTCCGCCGCCTGCCTTGGCTCCCAGTCATGTCATTTGCTCCCCTATGGCAGGGACATTCTACCGCAGCCCAGCACCGGGGGAGTCTGCTTTTGTGAAGGTGAGGTTCTGAACAGAGTGTGAATCGGTGATGTGAACGTTCGGCTTTTGCCATTGAGCTGTTACACCTGTGTTGGGCTCCCTGAGCTTGTGTTTGGCGCAATGTGAGAGTTATGGTTTGCTTTTTCAAACCACTACTCCCTCTCCCAGCTATTTTGTTCTGACATCCAATATCTTATGGGAGAGTTGCCAGAAGGCTCTACTGGACTGAGAAGGCTTGGGATCCCATAGTTTGTGTTTGGCTCAATGTGAGAGTCGCAATTTGCTTTTTCAAACCGAGTCTCTCTCTGAGGAATATCTTATGGCATGCCATTAACTACTGCAAAATTGTGGGTTAGGCCTAACTGAATTGACATATCTTAGGCTCGCTCGGCCATGCAATTTGCATGCCATGCCGGTTGGATTTGGCACCCGGAGGGCCCAGAGGTACATGGTAAGTGAGCTCTGAACGCTTTGCCATGTTACACCCCTTGGATCCCTGACAGGTTTGACTACTTTCATGGAAGGATTGACCGAAGTGCCAAAATGGCAAATACTGAGACGAAGCCCTTTCCCCTGACCTTACAGTTAGCTTATCGACCATAATTGTTAGTATCTTTGCCTGCCTTGTGTTTATCTATCTGAATACCTTTCTGGCGACCTCAATGTTGCATTGGCTTATTTTAAGTGTGGGACTTCAGCCCAGACTTCAGCCCAGATGGTAGGCTAGGTCCTGTGCTTTATGTGAGTGTTGTTGTGTTGATGATGATGACAGAAATCGGAATTTAACTTTTGATGGATAGTAAGTTGGTGTTTTACATGAGTAAGGGCAGTTTGGGCGTTTTGCTTGTTTTTTTCTTTGCACTTTTGAGTTTGTTGATGAATTAACAAATTGGTATTTGGTTGATGTACAAAGATGCACTAACACTTCAGTTGGTGGACGTTCTGCTGTGGGCTGATGCAGGTTGGCGATATGGTTAAGAAAGGACAACCAATATGTATAGTGGAGGCCATGAAGCTGATGAATGAGATTGAGGTATGTTGTTTCTTGTTGAAACACCTGGTGCTGTCTATATCAGGAAGACTTCCTTTTGGTTCTGTACGAAGCAATGAATGTGTAGATGGTGTGTTTCAGCCGCTGTATGTCATGGTAATTATGATGTGAAACCACTCACTCTCGATTGATTTGCGGGGCAAGATGTATATTGCCTCTGGGACTCAGTGTTTAATGCTCTGGCCGTTGCTCATTTGTCTCCTTGATTTGGAGTGTGACACAAGCCTCGTGACAATGCAATGAACAGAAAGATATGTCACTTGGACACTACTGCAGATTTGTTCAAGCTCAGGCTGTTATGAACCACCTCGCATGGGGAGGGTTGGCCGAATGCACATGATGAGGTGTCCTCAATGCCGATGATGTAATGATCGTAGCACCTCAGGAAGTGTTTTGGGCAGCTGGTGTGGTTGGCTGTATGTTGTGTAGATGTAAGATCTCAATGCTGATGATGTGATGATAGTGTTGCCGCAGGGAGTGTTTTTGGATGATGAGGGGGTAATGAGACTGGGAGGAGGAGATGCGGATATGAGGTGGATGGCGGACGAGGATGAGGCCGAGCAGTAGGTGAGGAACAGTGGAGGGAGGAGGGGGAGAACAAATGAGATGTGTTGATGTTCCATGATAGTCTCGAACGGTGCACCGTGAGCCAGCAACCACGGATTTGAGCTCGTGTTCTGTTTATTTTAAGCCAATGTCACAAGAAAATGAGGGTCTGTGATGGAGTTTTTGAATGTCCGGCAATCCAAATGGTGAAAGAAATGAAGAGTGTGAGTTGTTGTTTACCGAACCTGAAATGAATGGAGCCCTCACGAGTTATTGTGTGTGATCTGGAACCTGATCTGGAACCTGCTGAAATATGACCAGTGCAGATAATTAGCACAGCAATGCATGGTTTGACATTGAGTGGTGGTAGTTCATGTGGAGGAAGGCAGGAAAATAAGTGAGGTGGTAGAGGTTTGAGTGGGGGGAAAAAAAAACGGAGTACATCAGGTGGGAAGGTGCACATGCATGGTCGTTATCGGTGTAAGATTTGTATTTTCGTTTTTATCAATTGTGTTTTGGTTACCAGACAATTGTGGTGATAAATGCATGTCATTTTTCAGAGTTATGTACATTGGGCAGGGATATTTTTGGAATCTGACAGTTTTGGGTTGGCTGGGTCCTCTGCAGGCTGATCAGGGAGGAGTCATTGCCGAAATCCTGGTTGAGGATGGGAAACCAGTGGCAGTAGACACGGTAAGCGCAAAATCTCTCTCCATCAGTGACTGATCTTGTGTATGGCCAATGATATGCGTCTTCCAGACTCTTCCTTTAATGTCTTGTCTTGTACATAATCGAACCTCATTTGTGGTTCTCTCTTCTTTGTCTGCATTCTGCAGCTGCCCTATTTCTAATTTCCCCTAGGCTTTGTCGATTGCAACTTTTTAATGCCTTGGGCATTAGCCCCTGTCCCACCGACCTCCATGTTATCCTATTTCTTGTGGATTTGTATGCTTTATTGCTCCTGCTACTCTTACAGATGTTTCTAGAATAGAACAGAATGTTTGCGGTAGCAGCTTCTGTGGCCAGGAAATTGTGCCCATGTTTTTTTTACTATCTACTAGTTGTTTGGAAATGATGGTAGCACAATAGATGTGAATAATGGCCACATGAGTGAACATGGCAGTCGGTCCTGGCAATTTCTCGGGCAATCAATTTCTCGGCCAATGAATTTGAACTGATGCTGGTTTGCTCATATGCATGTCAGAAATGACGGAAGTCAAATTTCTAGTCAACAACATGTCAGCACTGTGATGTGATTTATGTTTTTCTTGTCGCTTAAAACCGCCAGTACTTCCCCCACCAGCCACGTACCGACCTGGGGTTTCATACCAATGACATCCAGGCAAAGAAGCTGTGCATGTGGCTTTTCTTGCCTGTAAGAATATGGAGCAAACTTGCAGGCCAGTGCATCCCATTAGGTATGGTATGTGCACGGGGGATGTTTTGTAAAAGTATCGGTGCTTCATCTACACACGATTTATGTTTGTGAATATCAGATGGACTGCCATGTGACGCAACTCCTGATGTGTTTTTCTGATGGTACATTTTGTCTGCAGCCGCTCTTTGCACTGAAACAATGAAGCTGGTGTCGAGGACGAGTGGTTGATGTACTTCGGGTATGGTTGGCGTTGGTTGGAATCCGTGAGAGGGAGGAATACAAGAGATACATCCACGCTTATTTGCCTCTTGTGCCTCAGCCCAGGCAAGGGGATTTGGTGAGGTGATGATGTAACAGCTGGCTGGATGACCAGATATGATGCATCTCGTGTGCTAGAAGAGGGGAAGAGAGGGAGGGAGAGGGTATCCTCTCCCTGTCTGCGTCGCTGACAAGGATGGACAGTGTATAAGCTGGCAAGGGAGAAGATGATGCGATTAAATGAGATGGGATAGATGTGTTTAAAGGACAGTGGGTCAGCTTATGGTGGAGGATGTGGAGAACAGCAGCAGAGAACAGCACTGTGAGAGCATCGAGGGTGTTGTTTCCTCAGTTTTTGAGGCGGATAGTTATGTCAAAGCACGAAGCGATCTGAGCCTTTTCATGGCGGGCTGAGTCTTTGGATTCATTGCAATTCAGCAAGTATTGTCGTTTGGGGTACGTGAGTGATTCAACGAATGTGCTTTTTGGATAAGTTATGTGAAAGAGTGCAGCGAACTGGGCCCTGTCGTGGTGTGCTGGGCCTTTGGTTGGATTCATTTGTTCCCTTTCATTTCAGGGAAGGGGAACAAGGACCACCAATGTAATGAGCTTAGGTTTTGAGGCAGAGAGTGGTACTGGAAGGCTGGAAGTGTCCTTACATTTTGGTGGTCATGAAGAGGGGGAGGAAAGGAAGGCGTGGTGGGCATGACATTTTGGTCAGTCTGCATCTTTGTAATTTGAGGGAGGGAGGGAGGGAGGGGTTCTCAGATACCCACTCACTTATGAGGTTGTATGGGGTGGGTGGGTGGGTATGTAAGGCATTTGCTGAAGTTCCTTTTCCATATGTACGGATTCCCAAGCACTCTTGGGCGAAGGTAGGTCATTCTACCTCTCGTCCCCTCAAAATTTTGTGGGGTGTTTGCCCCACTTACCCCTAGACTAGTTAACAGCATGTTCAGGGACGTTTGCAGTTTTGTAGAGGCTTCGTCACTTGTGCATTTTTCTTGATCCCCCTCATGGGCTTGTCGTATTAGGATTCGACTTCATTACAGAGTTCATAAGTTTGTTTGTACAGGTCTACAGGCAGTTTCCCTGGCATGTTTATTGGGGCAAATAACATGCGCCTTGGAGCAAGTAACATGGTCTTTTCTCTCTTGCTCAAATTTTCTCTCTCAGGGAATAATGTTTGACTTAGTGTTTTCCATCCCTGGGAATGATGTTTCTTATTGTTTTCCATTGCTGGGCTGCATATGTTTTGCATGAGACGAGGCCCTTTGGCCGGCTGATTAGCAATGTGGTCCTTGCTCTCTTGCCAAAAATTCTCTCTCAGGGAATAATGTCGACTTTGTGTTTTTTGTTGTTTTTTTGGGCTGCATGTGTTTTGCATGAGATGTGGGATTGCATGTTTGATACTACATGTGTTCCTTCATGTTCTGATTATTGTCATGTGATTCTGGGGTGTGTCCCAAGTTTCCTTCTGGATGCAACTATGTTGCCTGTGCCTCTCTCTCTCTCTCTCTCTCTCTCTCTCTCTCTCTCTCTCTCTCTCTCTCTCTCTCTCTCTCTNCTCTCTCTCTCTCTCTCTCTCTCTCTCTCTCTCTCTGTGTGTGTGTGTGTGTGTGTGTGTGTGTGTGGCATTTTGTCTGTGTCGTATGTTTGTTGTCTCTCTGTGTGGCTTTGTCTCATATGTTTGTTGCCGCTTGCTGTTTAGCCACCATGTGATATATGTATTTATGTCTGTCTTCTTGTTTGCCGATGAATTTTCTCTGCCTTGGTTCAGCCGAGGAATGGGTTGATCCCAATGGAGTTGGTTGTGGGCTTGGCGGATATGATCGTTTGTCAACTTGGCTTGTTAACTCGTCTCTTAATATCTGGAGCCGTGGTGAATCTCACCAACCTGAGCGTTGATGGGTTGAATTATTTTGCTTGGTTTTCTCTTTGCCCTTTTGAGGTGTGTGTGTGGAATCTGAACCGAGTATGTTTCTGAACACGTTCCGGAGTGGGAGTGGGATCTTGATCTGGAGTGGGAGTGGGATCTTTAATGGGATTTTGAAGGAGAAAAAGAATGTCGTTGGCATGGAATGTCAGAATCAGTTTGGCATAAGGATGGGCACTGTGCTAATATCTGCCGCGTTATCAGATTTGTGACATGGCTTTAGCACATTGCCCATCCTTATTGTCAATCCCCCTCTTAACTGAAAACTGATTCTGACATCAGATTCCCATTAATCAGATGCAGACTGGGAAAACGTTGTTCTAATGTCAAAAAGCCCCAATAGGTTGGAATATAATTGGCGGGTATCATGTTGAGTCATTGTAAAGAAATTCAACAGAAAGTTGTATTGCAGGTGCGCTATATGAAAACAGTGAATATATTCTACAGGGGGTCATATTCGAGCAGAATGCCGGCATATTGAACTTGAATGTGGGGCTTGCAGTTCAATTCCTTAAATGATCATCGTGTGTCATTGCTCGACACTAGCTTGCTCCATCCCCCCTGCTCCTGATTTCATCTCCTGCCCACACTTGAATGAGGAACATGCTTAATTCTTTAGCTGGAAAAACTTTGTAATTATTAAGTTATGAGCTCATGAGTACCCGGATCTTAAATCATCTACTTGCATTAACCTCCCATGCTATGGATGTAGGATCATTAACCCCTTTTCTTTGGGCTTTTGAAGAATGAGATTGGGGGGGAGACTCTGAGTGACTTTCTGTTTGGCAGCAAAAAAGGGTTGTAACTAGATGACCTGCCTGGCTTCGCACAGAAGTAGAAACATGATGCTGATCCATTTGTCGTGGTGGGCAACTCAAAGAAAGACCTGTCTCTCAAAGGTGGTGGGAGAATGGCGCTAGAGTACTGGTCAGTGACTACAGACACACACACACACACACACACACACACACACACAGAGAGAGAGAGAGAGAGAGAGAGAGAGAGAGAGAGAGAGAGAGACAAGAGATTTTGGGTTTCAGGCCTGCATCGGGCAGGCGATAACGGACAACCTCACAGCTCACACAACAGTGGTCGACCATATCTCTTCGATGTAGTGTTGCTGTGGTAAACATTTTTGCATATACATATGTATGTTTGGTTGTTGATTTCGAAAAGCAATAACAAGAATAGTGAGCCCAATAGCAGATTCTGCAGCAGCACAGTTAATATGAACAGAGCAAGTATTTGACCCATCATGTCACCTAGATAAACAGAAAGGACTAAAAAGTTCAAATTTAGTAAGTAATTTGTTGAAACAATATGATGGCTTCCTTGCTCTAATATCAATTTTTTTATATAGGTCTGGATGGGATTTCTTTACCGGAGTTGTTGCCCATTTTCACCTGGTGCAGTTGTTGGCCCTTTTTTTCATCTGGCACTTAGGTTACCTCGCCGATGCGGAGTCCTTGAGCTCCGATTACATAACCATCACTTAGTCGTGTACCTGAGTGGATTCACCCGCTCGTCAGTGCTTCATGCAGAAGTAAGACTTCCTCATAAAGCAATCCATCCATTTAAGGGTTTTTTGTCTTTTGTGCCATTCCAATTGTGGCTCCGTCCATCAGATCTTTTTCCTCGTCTCTGTTCGTGAATCCGAAAATCCTTGCAAGGTTGTGACTTTTGATTGTTGTCACGTAATCGGTGATCTGTAATTCTTATGATCTGGCCTCATCATGACTCATCTGTATATAAACACAGCCCTTTGCAGGCTCATGTTTTCATGACATTGGTAAAACAACTTGTCACTGAAGAAAGGAGGTAAGCTTGGTTTTTATGGGATTTGAACAACCTCTACGGAGCCTCTGATTCTGCTGTAGAGTTCTCAAATCCCTCTGAGGATGAATCTAAATAGGATTACATAGGCTCCTTGGCTATCTGAGAGTCAAAAGTATTGAAGTCTGTGGCTATAACCCACAGGCTACTGCTACTTCTTATCTGCTTGCTTCTTAGAACGAGGAACTTAACGTACTGCTCAGATAAGGTTATTCATGTGATGGGTTGCATCGCTCCTTACAGTTGAAGGATGAGGGTGGTTGCTGTCTGTGGTATGAATCACAGTGGTGGCCTTCTTGCCCGACAGTAGGTTAGGGGTTTTAACTAGGGGTTTAGCGGGTTCCCTGTTCCGTTTTGAACCTTGGCATCGATGGTTTGTTTGATTGGGTTTAGTCCCTGGTTCGGTCCAGTGCATTCTTCCTTTTTGGTAGCCGAGTGTATCAGCCAGCGGAGTGGGACCAATGCAGCTCCATTGGCCGTTCCTTTCAGTTGCTTTCAGTGTGGGTGCCGGTTTAAGTCTTGCAGTGTGAGACTGGGTGCCATATTTCAGCATCCTATTTTGTCTTGTAGTGCAGTTTGGGCGCCGGTTTGGGTGCCAGTCTTTCACTTTCTTGGCCTTGGCCACGCAGCAGTATAGATAGCTGGGTCAGCTCCGTTTTTTGCATGCAGAGTTAGAGGTTGAGGGCTTCAAGCTGCTGGGCTATGGGCGGCGCAGTGGGAGGAGGTAGAAGAGATGGACTAGAGGTTGAGGTGGAGGCCAGGCTATGGGCGGCGCAGTGGGAGACTTTTCGAGAGTAGAGACTTGGTGTCAGTGTGCTCAGACTTTTCGAGGCAATGGGGAATCAATCCTGCTAACCATTGTAACTGTAAACGATCAGTGTTGATTGATATCATAGTACAGAATGTGAATTGACTCTTGTCTTTTGTTCGGACTCTTCATGTGTAGTCTCTGAGGATCCTACACAGACATATGTTGGTTTCCTGCGGATTGTCCATTGTATATTGGAATTTATTCAATAAATAGGTTACAGGACTTTCCCGCATATAGTGAAGTGATAAGGTCAGAGATTACTCGTCTGACACGGCAAATTGAGTTTACCACTTTCATCGGCGAACAACCGAACCCTTGGAACGTCGACCTTCCACCATTACTGATGGGGTAAGACCATGCCTTCACCATATTCATTACAGTCACCTGTAAAAAACTTAGGTACGAGCGGTATGAAATAATAATACCACTTTTACTCTAGGAGTTGCTTTTTTAGTACGAGCTGAACGTTAAGTAATGGCTTCTAGGCAGCGTAGAAAAGGTCGGAATGTGGTAGGATTGTTTGGGGTATTACAACCTTTAGCAGATGGTTTGAAATTAATGATAAAAGAGCCTGTTCTACCAAGGAGTGCTAATTTATTCATCATTATAATGGCTCCAGTCATTTCTGTTAAGTTTAGTTGCTTGGGCTGTAGTACCTTTTGATGATAAATTTTGGGGTACTGTCAGGTTTGAGCGTAGGTATACTTGACATATTTGCTATTTCGTCTTTAGGTGTTGAATGTCTCCATTCCTCCTCCTCCGTCTCTTCCCCTACATAATCTGTGGATTTGTGGCACGGTGCTATCTTGTGCTCAGCGCCATGCCATCTCACCTTGCTTGATGCTGATGGGTGTGTTGCAGTCAGTCTGAGTCATTTGGAGTTAGATTCTGTTAGATTATGGTATATCAGTGTTCCGCCGTGCTATCACTGTTCTATGTCTTTGGGTCGGTTCTTGATTCTGATCTCTGCCGTATAGGCATGCAACAGTTTGGTATTGGAGCAGACCTTGAAAGAGTGATTGCTCATCAAAAGTTGTCAGGAGTTGTTTGCTGGAGCGGTTGATTGGTTGATTGAATTGATTGATTGATTGAATTGATTGAATTGATTGATTGATTGAATTGATTGATTGAATTGATTGAATTGATTGAATTGATTGATTGATTGAGATTAACCAACAGAAATGAGGTTATCGCATACATTTCGGGAGAAGGCCCATAATTTACGGTTTGAGGAGGTAGAGTTGAAGGTTTGCCTGGTGTAAATTACCATTGACGAGTGAAAGAATTGCTGTCAAATTGTGTGAATTAAATATCTTTGATCATTCAATTGCTGTTAGTTAATCCTTTGATTAATTATTGGCAATTGGGCACTGTGCTAATTAATATCTGCAACTATTCCGGTCTGATGCTAATTACATAATTTTCCCTAATCAGGGTCATGCAGTTCTAGTTTGTAAGCTAATTAGGTTAGGCGCTAATGATTTACAGCAAATTAGGATGACAAATGTGCACTAATTAGGTTTGCAGCATTTAGTTTTATTTCCGTAATTAGGGTTTATTAAGAAGTAAAACACAAATTTACCTTAAATTAATTAGGGTATTTAGAAGTAAAACACAATTTTACCTTAAATTAACAGTGTAATTAAGGGGCTTAACGTTGCACCCTAACGTGACTAGCAGTGGATGTT